AGGGGAGGGGAGGGAAAGAAAGGAAAAGAAAAGAAAAGAAAAGAAAAAAAAGAAAAGAAAGATTTAATCAAGCCAGATGTGGTGGCACACACCTATAATTCCAGCCTCTGGGAGGCTGAAGCAGGAAGATCACAAGTTTGAGCCCAGCATGACCAATTTAGTGAAATCCTATCTCAAAGAAATTTTTCAAGGTGTAGGAACATAGCCTAGTGGGAAAGCCCACTAGGGTTTAACCCCCAGTAACAAAAACAAAACAACACCACTGGGACCAGTGAGATAGCTCAGCGAACTAATCCCGGTCCTACATATTGTGCTGGCCCCAACCCTGGGGTTCACTGAGCTGGCGAACAAGTCCGGGTGTGGTGGCACATGCCTGTAATCCCAGCGCTGGGAAGGCTGAAAGCAGGAGGATCACTATGAGTCTGAGCTGCGTAGTGAGACCCTGTACCAAAAACATAAAAAAAAAAAAAAAAAAAAAAAGCAAACCCACCCATTAACTTGACCTTAGAGGTATTACCAAAGGTAGTATGTGTAAAATACATTTTGTTTAGCTAAGCAACTTCTAAGATCAGAAATGAAATCAAGTAAAGCTAGAGGTTTCAAATTTTTCCTTTAGGCTCCTAAGGCCTACCCACTGTCCTTTACTGCAGCATACTTTGTCCTCCCTCACCAGGATTAAAAATACAGGAAAGCAACAAGAACCCTTATTTTAAGTGGCCCAGTAGAAGACTTCGGTCTGACCTCTCCTTGCTGAGGATGTGTGGTCAGTTTGGAGACAGGCAGTTGGCAGAGGCTGAGGACTGCTTCATCCTGGAGATCTGTGGGTTCAGAGAGGCCAGTCCTTGGTGAGAGAGTACCTGGGATGAGGGCCCCCTGGCTCATTCCGAGACCTTAGTTAGGGTCTCGGGTCCTCAATTTCCATTAAAGAGTTGCCCAAAGAAAGTTTTACGGAGTGAACATTCTGGCTCTGTTACTTTGTGAATCCCTCCGAATGGGCAATTTCTGTATGGTCGATAGATGTTGAAAACATCAACTCCCTATAATACAGGTTTAAAATGCCCAGTTAAATAGATGAAAGATCATCCTTTGACAGTTCTTTTATCACTCTTCTGGATCCCCATGGAGTAAGCATTAACTATCTGACTTCAGAGATATAGTTCAATCATTTATCGTAGATGCCTACCTGCATACGGGCTGGTCTCCTACCATGCCGTCTACTCCTGAAGGGCCTGGGACTGAGTCTTATTGTATTATTTTTCTCTCTGAGCACGTGTTGCAGGACCTGACAAATACTTTAGGGGTCAGAAAAAGGCTCCTAAAACCAGAGAATGCTAGGCAGGTTTCCTGGCTTCTTTCAGAATGCGTGGTTTATGTGTAGACAGAGGCTGCTGGGTACAGTGAGGAGCCCGAGGAGGCAGCCGTCGCCTCCTGCCTGCTCCTTTCTCCTCAGAGTGTAGGCCCAAAGTGTGGATTCCTGAGTGATGTGCAAAACTGCTCCAACACCAAAAGCTGATTTCAGCTTCTCAGCCCAGCAGCTGTGTTCACAGCCACCCCTCTCAGAATGACAGTTTCATCCAGGGAAGGAGTTGTGTGGCACCTTCAGCGCAGGAGCAAAACATGGGTTCCAAATGAGTCATTGCTCTCTGAGATGACCCCAGTCGAGGCATTTTCCCTTACAGTACCAGGCTCCTCACCTGTGCTTGGATGAAGAGGCTTCCCATCTGAGCCGAGGGCTTGCTCAGGGCTGCTGGGGCTTGGAAAGGGGGCCTTGAGGCCTCATTAAGCGAAGACTCTTAGAAACCGCTCCTCCAGCAATGGTTCTCTTATTGACCGAGATCTGAGTGCTAAAGCAGAAAGCATGTAAAGCCAGATGGATGTTCTTACGTGCTGACTGCAGCAGGCGGGCTGCAGGTGGTGTGCGTGTTTGGAGTTGGGTCAGGAAAGGAGTGGCCCCAGGAGCCAAGTGCAGTGCTTGGAAGGTGTCCCTGAAGAATGCCAGGAAGACTGATGGAAGAGGTGGGGACTCCAGGCATTTGGAAACTGCAGAAAGGGTGTTTTAGATGAAGACTTTCAAAGGGACAAGGAGGGTTGGCTGACTGGTGAGGGTTTGTAGGCGCTGACAATAAGAGGACCCCAGAGAATTAGCTGGTCAGGGTGGAGGACTCCCCACATGGCCCAGGGTCTGGAATGGAGCACTGCAGCAACCCTTGCTTATATACATGCACTCATTTTTGTAGTATTAAAGATAGAACCTAGGGCTTCGTGCATGCTGTGCTACAGCCCCCAGCCCTCAGCTTCTCTTAGTAATCTCTAAGGAAGAATTCTGAGAAGGTGTCGCATATTGTTAAAATATTAGCTGTGTTTATTTCCTGAAGGTCCCATCACCTACTTGGCCCTCCCAGAGGAGGGCAAGCCAGGACCTGCTCCTGGCCCTGGGGACATGTGTACAAGTTAGGAAGAAACGCTCTCTTTCAAGGTGCTTCTGTCCCTGAGGAAATTTTCTTACAAGACAGACCTCACCAGAAAAGGGTATTTTATTGCCATCAGCTCAAAAGTTGTGAGAATGAATGCCCAGATCTCTGGGCCTTAGCAATGAGCGATGTCCCAAGTGTCCTCGTCCCTCAGAAGTGGTGCTGTGTTACCTCAGGAGCTCGCTGACGCTCCTCAGTAGCTAGTTGCTGTCCTGTCCAGGGCATTGGCTACCTACGGCAGGGCCCACACCATTGCTTTCCATGACTCCCCTCACCGTGCATCTTGGGCACCCACCATGAGAAGGGGGCTCAGACCTTCTGGTCCGTCGTCAACCGGCTGCCTCTCTCCAGCAATGCCATGCTCTGCTGGAAGTTCTGCCACGTCTTCCACAAACTTCTCCGTGATGGACACCCAAATGTGAGTTCCTGGGGATGGAGGGGAGGCTCGGGAGCCAGAGAAGCCTGTGGGGAAAGTGACCGCTGGGGCTTCAAGGGGGTTCCTCTGCCCCCTTCTGCCCTCTAGGTTACCAGAGAGGTGGAAACACCTCTCCTGATCTGCCTGTCCAGGCCTAGCTGGGCTGTGCTCTAGCTGTCCCTTCTGTTCCCTTATGGCTCTCCTCTTCCCTCCCCAGGTTCTGAAGGACTCCCTGAGATACAAAAATGAATTGAGTGACATGAGCAGGATGTGGGTGAGTTTGGAGATGTATCTGGGGCCCCAAAACCAGGGCTATGGGATGGAACAAATCTTTCTCTTACACCTTGTTTAGAATTGCTCCCATATGCATCAGGAAGGAGCTAAGGATGCCACCAGATAGTACCACCATGTCCACTGTCTTGCTTGAGTGCCAGGAAGCTGCAGAAAAGTTCCAGGGCCTCCAGCCTCTCCTACTGTGGCTGTACATGTCTCAAAGCTGTTCAGGGTTAGCAAGGGCATTGCCAGAGTTTTTCTTTGGTGGCTACAGGATATTGAGAATTGACATTTTAAATTCTTAATACTGGGGCTGGAGAGATAGCTCAGCAGTCTAAGCACCTGCCTAGCAAGCACAAGGACCAAGGTTCGATCTCCAGTACCACATGCCATGTCTGCCATGCCAGCCACCAAAACTGGATGTGGTGGTGCATGCCTGTAATCGCAGTGCTGGGGAGGCTGAGACAAGAGGATCACTATGAGTCTGAACTGTGTAGTGAGACCCTGTACCAAATAATAAATAATTTTTTTTAAATAAATTGTTCGTCCCAATCCCCCACTGTTTTTTCCTAGCTGGGGATTTTCAGTGCCTTAGGATGAGAGCGGAGGTATGTGGCAACATTAAAGTCGTTTGAAAGGCATGTTGTGCACACTCCTGGGTCCCTTTGGAGTCTGATGACCAAGGGTACATATGTGAGGCAGTGCTGACCTACACCATGAAGAACTCCCGACTGGTCGTGCAGAGGCCATTTGCCCCACACTGGCTGAGAGCCACACTGCAGCCTTTCCCTTTGGTCTTAGCTGTATACAGCACTCATGAATTACCTAGTACAGTCTGGCCGTAGGGGAGAACAGGTCCAGAGAAGAAAGTGGTTTATCCTGAAATCACAAGCTGTGTTATCTGGACAGAGCTGAGATTTGTGACCAGATATTCTCTATGACCTATACAGCTCTAGAATTTTCCCAGGATATCTTTTGCCATTCTTTTATCTTTTCTTTTTCTTTCTTTTTTTTTTTTTTTTTTAATGTATATGGTACAGGGTCTCACTACGCAGCCTGGACTCACAGTGATCCTCCTGTTTTCAGCCTCTCCAGTGCTGGGATTACAGGCGTGCACCACCGTACCTGGTCTCAGCCTACTCAGCTTGCCCGGGGGCAGGGCTGGCACGGCATGTGGTGCTGGGGATGAAGCCCTTGTCTCTGTGCTTGCCTAAGCAGGCACTTAGTCCTGCTGAGCTATCTCACCAGCCCTTTTTTTTTGGCAGAACCGGGGATTGAACTCAGGCCCTTGCGCTTACCAGGGAAGTGCTTATTCCACTGAGCCATCTCCCCGGCCCCTCTTTTTTTTTTTTTTTCAGACAGAATCTCACTGTAGTTCAAGCTGACCTTAAATGCATAGCAGTACTCCTGCCTCAGCCTCCTCAGTACCGGGATTGTAGGCATGCATTATTCCTTTACTTTCAACTTCACTATAGTCTTGTCTTTTAGGAATGCTTTTAAATAGCATTTCCTATGCTGGGGCTATAACTCAACAGCACAGCGCATACCTGACGAGCAAGCACAGGGTCCTAAGCTTGATTCCCAGTACCAAATAAATAAATAGCACTTACTATAGTTGGATTTTTTATTTTGGTTTGGTTTTTGAGATGAGATCTTGTTATGTTATTGAGGTTGGCTACAAACAGTTTTGGTTTTTGTTTTATTCATGATGGCAATCTTTGTCTTTTAACTGGGTATTTGGTCCACTTATATTTATTATAATACAGGATATATTTAGGTTTATGTCTCTTTTTTTTATTTTTATTTTTGGTTTGGTTTAGGATTCTTTTTTGGTGCTTAGGATTGTACTCCAGGTCTCTACCACTAAGCTACACCCTCAGTCCCCACATCCCCCATATTGTGCTTTCCTATTGGTCTCATCTGTTTTTATTCTACTTTTTCCTTGCCTTCTTTCAGGTTGACTGGATTTTTGTTTTTATCATTCTGTTTTTCTCTTCATTACTTGTTAGGGCATTTTTAAAATTCTGTTTTTTAAAATTGTCAGTATATTCCTTAATAACAAAATGGGAAAGATTTTTTTTTGTCTGGCTCAGGCTGCCTTAAGGGCAAGCCTAGTAAGGCATGAAACAACTGAGCTAACCGACAGGCCCCCTATAACAACAAAATGCTTGCTTGGTTTATCAGGGTCTAAATTTTGTATCTATCTGTTTCCTGTAGAACACAAAGACCTTAATATTTTAATAACATTCATTACCTCAGTTTGTATGCTATTAATGTTGTATGCTTTCTCTTTATAAACTGAAGGTTGTATTTTATTTTGTACCCTTCTCAGACCTTTCACCTGGTCTCACTTTCTGCCTGAATTAATTCTGCTAGATTTTTTTTTTTTTTTTTTTTTTTTTTTTTTTTTTTTTTTCAGAACTAGGGCTTGAACTCAGGCCCTTGTGCTTGCTAAGCAAGTGCTTATTCTACTGAGCCATCTCCCCAGCCCTCTCTGCCAGAACTTTGTATACTGAGAATCTGCTAGTGACAGACACCTCTTTTTGTTTGTGTGAGAAGGTCTTTGTTTTAGCCTCATTCATGGAAGCTGTCTTCTCTGGTTTAGAATTCTAGGCCGACAATTATTTTCTCTCAGCGCATGAAGACTGTTATTCAAGTCAACCTTCCACAGACTTCCAGCTTCCATTGTTTTCTTGGAAGTCGGCTGTGAGACTGACCATTGTTCATTTGAAGCTAATCTGTGATTTTTTGGTGGTCATTTTGGTTGTTGCAATACTGAGTATTGAACGCTAAGCTTCCATGCTGAGTTACATCCCATCCTAGTATTTAAATTGCCCAGGCTAGGCTCAGACTTGTGCTGCTCCTGCCTCAGCTTTCCACAGTGCTGGGCTTAGGATTATAGGTATTCAGCAGTGTGCCCGGCTATTTTTGTATCTTTTATCAGCTATGAACATTTCATTTCTTTTCTCTTCTTTTCTTTTTATTTGTGCGGAACCGGGGATTGAACTCCGGCCCTTGCACTTGCCAGGGAAGCGCTTATTCCACTGAGCCATCTCCCCAGCCCCGAACATTTCTGATTGTCACTTCAAATATTGCCTTTGCAAAGGTCCCTTTCCTTTCTGAGACATTGGTTAGAGCTTTATCCGTGATTTTTACTGTGTTGTTAAACTGCTACATTGCTTTGTTTCTATTGCTGGTCCCTCCTGCAATCTGGGTAATTTCATCAGGTGAGGATTTCAGCGCACTTATTCCTTCTTCAGCTGGAGCTAGCCTGCTGTTAAATGTTTTCATAAAGTTTTTTATTTTAGTTAGTGTGTTTTTCATTGCTTTCAATACTTGTCTTTTTTTTTTTTTTTTTTAATTTATGTATTTGGTGCAGGGTCTCACTACGTAGCTTAGACTCGTAGTGATCCTCTCAGCCTCTTCAGCGCTGGGATTACAGGTGTGTGCCACCATGCCGGGTCCTGGCAACTGGCTGAGCATGCCCGGGGCAGGGCCAGGGCCAGCATGGTATGTGGTGCTGGGAATTAAACCCCAGTCCCTGCGCTTACCTAAATAGGTGCTTAGTCCGCTGAGCTATCTCACTAGCCCTCTTACCTTTTTTTTTTTGGGGGGGGGGGGGATAGTAATCTTTAAATTTTTATGCCTTACAAATACTTTGAAATAATCTCTCATATATATAGATATAATAAGCATAGTTATTTTATATATAAGTTTTTTGTGGTTTGGTTTGATTTAGTTTTTACGAGTCAGGGTCTTGCTGTGTAGTTCTGGCTGCCCTTGAGCTTGCATATGTAGTCCAGGCTGACACTGCGCTCAGGGCAATCCTCCTGCCTCAGCCTCCTAAATGCTAGGCTTACAGGCATGCTCCACCATGCCTGGCTCACGTGAAGCCCTTAGAGATATGTTTCTGCCATCTGGCATTTCTGGTGAATTTTGCTCATGCTTTGTATTTTCCTTTTGCGTTTAGGTATTTTTTACTGTGAGCTACTTGTTTTTCTTGAGATTTTACTTATGGAAATTCTTTGAAGTCTGTAACAAAGGCAGATTTCTCCAGAGAGACTTATTGTTTGCTTCTATTAAGATCATTCTAAATTAAATTCTCAACTGGAGGTTTTATGAATTCTGGCAAGATCCCCTTGAGGCCTGGCTTGTAGGTCCAATTCTCAGGAGCATATTTCCTTTCCCTCTCTCTGGTCATAAAAACATTCTAAGGAAATAGTCCTCAGGGAGGAATTCCTCTATTCAGGAGTGCCAGGGTGTGTGTGTGTGTGTGTGTGTGTGCACACACACACACACACACATATATATGTATGTGATTTTCAACTTACTCTTACTTCCCTTGTACCCATATAGGGGAATGAAACTCACAACTTGCAAGGTACCTGGGATGAGTTCATGTTGTCTAAAATCAAAGAATGAATTTTAGGAACAAATGAAGGTTAAGAGCAGAATATTTATTGGGGGAAAGAAAGCTTCTATCCAAGAGAGGGGCAGAAGGGGGATCCAAGTGGATTACCCCCAGGAATCTACCATTCCCAGCGATTTTATAGAGTAAAACCATGCATCTAAGGTGGACAACACGGCAACTCACTTAGGTGGGCATAAGGTGGGGCAAAACTATGATCAACCAATAAGGTTACAAGCACCTTTGTGCTCAGGTAAAATTGATTAAATCTAGGACCAAATGGGGAAGCGAGTCATGTAGCAAGCAGGCATGAATATAGAACATACAGGACAGAAGTTTCTCCAGTAGCCGGTGACAGTTACATTAGCGACTTCCTGGCTTCTTCAAGGTGATGATCAATCCGGATGCCTATCTTTAGGGAGGTCAGCATTTGTTCGATCTTTGGTCTTTTGGTGTGGCCCACAGAGGGAGCAGCTGTCTCCCTCACAATTGCAAGGTATTTTGTCTTTGGTGCTGTCTCCTTGACGGCCTGGCCCTGTCTGACTGCCTATAGTATTTCTATCTAATTCAGCTACCTACCACTCCAGGAGCAGTCTCCTGACCCTTCCACTCAATTCTTGCACCTGGGCAGGCCAGAGTCCTACTTCTTGGTCACTATCTAGACCTTGAGACCCAGAAAACCTATTATTTCTTTAGTCCTTTTCAGTAGCAAAGTCAACCCAAGTTTCTAGCCTTGTTCAATCTAGGATCCTTTAGGCCTTTCTTCCTATGCAGTTCTGTCTTAGTCACTTTCTGACACATTTTCCAACACCCACAACTTAAAAGAGGAGAGATTTATTTTGGTTCACCTTTTTTAGAGGTTTCAGTTGATAGTCAGCTGGTCTCTAGGCAGGAAGGCCTAGCAGAGGAAAAGCTGCTAATACCACAGCATCCAGGAAGCAGAGAGCTAAGACAGATGAGGAAGAGGGAGAGAAACCCTTCTAGGTCGCTCTGCCAGTGACCCACATTTTCCAGCCAGGCCCCGCCTCCTAGCAGCACATTTAGCTACATCACTCCACTGATTTTGCCACCTCTCAAAAACCCATGCCTACACGTGCCTGGGACTCTTGGCAAACATGTAGATATAAACCACAACTGCTGTCTCTCACCTTGGATTAAGAGTCTCTAAACAGCTGAGCCTTTTTGTGTTTTGATTTTGGTAATAGATACTGAATCCTTTGTTCTGAGCTCCAGCTCCAGCTCCTTTTTGATCTTTTTGAGACAAGGACTCACTAGTTGCTCAGGCTGGCCTCAACCCTATGACCCTTGGAATTGCAGGCATGTGCCACCACACCCCATTGTCCTTACTTTCTCATCCTTGTGCATTTTTCTGTTAATCGTCTTCATCTTTTCACTTTCTAGCAATTTCCAATTTTTCTAGAATGAATAAATATTACATAACAGCTAATAAAATATGAAGCATTCCTAGAAAATCTATTCTGAAAGCACTGGCAGGGGTGATGTTGATGTTTTGCCTTCCCCTGATCCCTCCCCTCCGTAGGTGCCCTATCTGGAATCTCCCCTAGAGGACCTGGCACATTTGGAAGAGACTGAATAAAAAAATTAGAAAGTTGGGCCAGGGAGATAGCTCAGTAGAAAAAACACTTGCCTGGCAAGCACAGGGGCCTGAGTTCAATTCCCAGTTCCACAAACATAAATAAGTAAGTAAATAAATAAATAAATAAATAGAAAGAGACTAAAGCGGGCAGGACTCCCCTGGGAATCCACATCCCTCCTTTTCTGTAGGTTCCTGGGAGTTGTGGGTATCACTCTGCTAACTTGGCCATCCTGTGGGAAGGCTCAAAGAGGCTTTGTGTTTCAGACCCACCACCATGGACCATTAAAGATCTCTTTACTGGGGCCGGGGAAATGGCTCAGTGGAATAAGCGCTTCCCTGGCAAGCGCAAGGGCCTCAGTTCAATCCCCAGTTCCATAAAAAAAAAAAAAAAAACAAACCTCTGTATCACCTGGAGTCCAGCTGAAGACTCTTTCTACTGTGTTTAGAGAGGTAGAACAGAAGAAATAGCCCCTAGTTGGACTATGAGTGATCAGGTTGGAGACTAAAATTCTTAAATAAAAACTCTTGCCCCGAATTAACCATAAGAAAGTCCTCAAGTCGTATGCAGGATTGTACCGCAAGCTGGGCATGTGGTGCTTCTGTCATCCCCGTGCTCAGGCGTCTGAGGCAGGAGATTGCGTGGGCTGCATGGCCAATCCGGCAACATAGCAGGACCCAGTCTCAAGGAAAAAAAGATTGAGTTGTAAGAAAATGTTCGTTGTGTTGGGTGGATGTGACCAGTGGATAAGGACGGCATGGGCGGAAATACCGCAGTTTTTATTATAGTTATTAGCTATATATAAATTTTAAACGTTCATTGAAATGTAACTTATAACAGCAAAATTTTCAGCTTATTTGAATCAGGTTCACCTGCTTTGAATGTATTGAATCAGTTCAGTAAACTACAGTATTTACTTAAAAGGAACTGGGCAGCCACTAAAAATGATGCTATTCAGGCATGATGATGCAAACCGATATAGCCCCACCTGCTCGGGAGGATGAGGCTAGATCACCCGGGGAAATTTGAGACCTACCTGAGCAACGTGGGGAGAGCCCATCTCAAAGGAAAAACGTAATATAGAAGAAAGATCGAGAGCACATCACAGTACATTGGGTGAAAAATGTACATTGATTCCATTTTTAGATAGAAGAATAAAGGTGACACCCTGAGGGTTTTGGGGACACTGAGATCCTAGTGTGTGGTGCTGTCATGGTAGATCGTGTCATGCTTTGTCGCGACCTATAGCATGTGCAGCACAGAGAGTGCGCCCTACTGCGAACTTGGACTTGGGTGACAGCAATTGTCACTTTGGGCTCATCACTGAAATGAGTGTGCCTCTCTGCTGAGGGCAGGCAATGGCGGGGGAGGCTCTGTGTGCTGGTGGTGCACAGTGTAAGTTGCTCCATGCAGTATACTCAGTTTTGCTGTGAACCTAAAAATGCTCTTAAAATTGAAAAAAAAAAGGAAGCTTTATACCCAGCAGGTGTTAGCCATGGTGATGCTTAGTGGTATAAAAACAGGGTGATAGGGCCCAGGGAGATGGCTCAGTGGAATAAGCGCTTCCCTGGCAAGCGCAAGGGCCTGAGTTCAATCCTCAGTTCCACCACATACAAAAAAAAGACCAGGGTGATATGTTTATGTATGTGCTTTTCTGTATATTCCAAATTTTCAGCCACTAACCTTCTCTCTCTCTCTCTCTCTCTCTCTCTCTCTCTCTCTCTCTCTCTCTCTC